CGGGGCTACTACAAGGAAATGCTGTCTCGAAACAAAAAATGACTTGTACACTGGGCTCATTGGTGCCCACCCGTAAGGACACTGCTCAGAAAGTGGAAGGACAACACTGAGTTTGGACTTGAACTGCGTGGTGGCACTTTGGTACAGCTTATTACTAATAAATAAGTCAGGTAATAGTGTTTGAGAGTTCTGAAAACATCAAAAGGGCTGGAGGCACCCAGCACATTTTAACTCTGCTGCTTGGAATGTAGAAGTCTAACAAAACTTTGTCAGCATAGATTAATTTTTAAAAGTATTTTTTGGAACAAATTCCTTTGTTCAGACTGAATTTTATAATCAATTTTCTCTTTACCACAGCTAAGCTGGCTCTGATTTTCCACCTTTTCGTTGTTTTTGAAAGAGTTACTTTTTCATTGAGCATGGGTGTGCACAGCTTTAATCCTGGCGCTCAGGAGATAGAAGCAGCTGGATCTTTGTGAGTCCCATGCCGTTTAAGAAAGAAGGAAAGGAAGGAAGGAAGGAAGGAAGGAAGGAAGGAAGGAAGGAAGGAAGGAAGGGGTATTTGTCTGTGGCATATTCTTACTATGTTGTCAGCATGATCTGAAACTTGTTGCATAATCCACACGTGTCTTAAACTCATAATCCTCCTGCTTCAACTGTCTAGGTGCTGTGATTGCAAAAGTGGGTCGCCATGCCTGGCTCTGCTTCTATTTTTTAAATAAAAACTTGCCAAATCAATTACACTCATGCTTCTTAAGCAGCTTTATGGAGCTTTAGTTCACATACCATACAATTCCAGGACTTAAACGCACACCTGGATGCTGTTTAGTCTTGGGACAGAATCATACACTCATCATCACAATCAACTTTAGAATATTTTGACGGCCCTCATAGGGAAATTTATATTCCATTGTCATTCCCAGGCACTCATAACCTCAAAGAGACCACTGAGCTGCCTCTGTCTTTGTGGATTTACTCATGATGAACATTTCATAAGACTGGAATTCATAATATGTAAGCTGTTGTGATACCTTTTTCCTTGTAAGTACAATTATTTTTAAATTTTTATTTTATTTGCATTGGTGTGGGATCTCCTGGAATAGGAGCTGCCATGTGGGTGCTGGGGATTGAACCCGGGTCCTCTGGAAGAGCAGCTGGTGCTCTTAACCACTGAGCCATCCATCCAGCCCGTAAGTACAATTTTTTAAAGACTATTATGTTATTGCCTATGTCAGAACTCCACTCCACTTACTGCTGACCATGTCACTGTATAGACATGCTATGTTTTATTTTCTCCCACATCAGCTGACCTTGTTACTGCTATGACTGTCAGTATTTCTGTATGTAGTAGATGGTCAATTCTACATGTCTTAGTTACAATCCTATGCGTGGAGATGGCAGTTGAGGTTGAACCTGACTTCACCTGTATTTCCTGGCTAACCCTCCAGTCTTGTGTTTCCCTCTATAAAGGAGAGAAAGGAAGGAAGTAAAGAGGAAGTGGAGGAAGGACGAGAGGCTGTGTCTGTTCCTTTGTCTTGTCTGAAGGTCCTGAGTGCACAGCAGATACCAGAAGGCTGGGGTTAAAATGCTGGCATCAAAGTAATCGGGTCAAATTTCCTACAAAGGAGAGGTTTTGTGAGAATAGGGACGTTTGGGTTGGCAAGATGGCTCAGTGGGTAAGGAAGGGTCCTTGATCCCAAACCTGATGACTGGAGTTCCCTCCTCTGAGCCCACATGGGAGAAGGAAAGAACCAGCCCCCATAAGTTGTCTTCTGACCTAGCACACACACAGTGGCATGTGCTTGTACATGGTGCACACACACAATCAATCAAATCAAATTTTTAAAAGAAAAGAAAGTCTGATTCTACATTTGAAGAGCTGAGGAAGTGGGGCCCACAGCATAGGCAGGGCCTGGTAACTGGGCTGGGAACAGGGTGCTTAAAGAGTAAGAGGTGGCAGGCAAAGCTGAGGTGGCCCCACACAAACACACCCACTCTAGAAATCTCGTAATCAAAGGTGTTGAACTCTAACCTCAAAGATTTAGACAGCAATTTTGTACAGAATTGGGAAGCCATTGAAGAGTGAGGTTTAGAGGCCTCAGTCACATGACGAGACTGAATGGGCTGGATGACAGCAGTGACTGGCACTTAGGGCGGACCTCTGTGAGGAAACATTGCCACAGCAAGCCGTATCCTTAGGAGGCTGTTGCCGCAGCCCTGGGCTGAGGTAAAAGCACTGAGGATAGTCAGCTGGCAGAGTTAGTGGCCAAGTGGGCAAAAGTCACATTCATCATGGGGCTGGTTCCCTAAAGGACCCATATCTATGAGCAGAGAACTCATCATCTTCCTATTACATAAATAGACTTGACACTCAGTGCTAAAATTGATGCCAAGGGCTCGATGCTAATCAAGCTGGAATCACAAGCGGGAGGGCAGGGTGGGTAGGCCCTCTGCCAGCTGGGCAGGGAGCGCAGGAGCCCAGGACACTGCAGTCAGGCAGCCCATCCCTGCTCTGAGAGTCTGAGCAAAGCCCTGACAGGCCTGGTAATGCCTTTCAGGGCCGGCTCCTGAAATGACACCTCTCAAGGCTTCTTTCTGAGCTGACCAGCCAAGTGGGGCTCAGTCCCAGAGATCTATGGCTAGGCCATCCTCATTGTCTGAAGGTGCTGACTGAAGGAAGCAGCTGGCTTGGCACCTGCAGGTGGCTGAGAAGAAGCAAAGGCTGGGGAGGGGAACAGTTGACATAACAGTGGTTTGCAGTGGCGGTAGTTGGTGACTGGATAAAGCTCCCACTGTGTGCTCCACAGTGAATCAGGGCACTCGGGGCTCTCTCGGGGGATGAGTGCGTTCCTCCTTGAACCAGCAGTAACCACTTGCCACCCAAGCCACGGTGCAGTGCGCTTCTTCCCGTCTGCACACACCAAAAGGAGCATGGTCCACTCCACCCATACACTGGAGCGGGGTCTCTAAGAGGCAAGCCTATCTCCATCCCAAGGCAGGTTCCACTCGGCATTCCACAGCTCTCCTGCCTCGAGTGCCGGTCTGTGGGTGAGAGGATCCCAGGCTCATAGCTGTGATATGCTCGCTGAGTGGTGGAGACTCATTCAGGGTCCTCAGTGAGTACCCGCCACGCTGCAAGTACCGCTCTGAGTAGGTCTCAGCTTGATGTTTTCCTGCTGAGGAGGCTATCTAGCCTGGTCTTGACCTGCGGAGGGGACGAAGGCGAGTCTGCGGTTTGCCAGGGTGCTCTCAGCCACCTGGGGTGCCTAAGAAATCAACATCATTATTTTTCTTTCCTGTTATCTATATTATTATCAGTATCCTCGTCGAGGCCAATAAAAGACGGAAGGGGGCTGGCTACCCAGAGACTGCGGGATTATCTGTTTATACCGAGGACGTTCCTCACCACACAACTTTACGACCCCAGCCAAACTGGGTTCTGCTGGGCAGAGAATGACCGGCGGCTGCGCGCACCAGCCCGCTAGCTTTCCCCTCCAAGGCAGGGCGGAGGATGCTTTCCTAGGGTGTTCCAGAGCACGCCATTCCCCTTGGCGAGCCTCTACCCTCCTCGCCCTCCACTGCACCCGGGTGTAGCCAGGCTCTCGTCCCTCGGGCGGGCGAGTCGGGGCAGCACAGAAGCCCGAGCAGCGCGGGGCCTGAGATCCGCCTGCTCTGGTGGCCTTGAGTCCCCCACCTGCGCGTGACTCCTCCTCCTGTTCCTGTTCCGCAGCGTCCGCAACCCGGCGACTCGCTGTTTCGGCGACCGCACCTGCGTCAGGGTGGGGTGGGGGACTCTCCGGAGGTAGAAGGGGAAAGAAGGAGGGTCTGGGGAGCACCGCGGCGCCGGGTGAGGAGCCTGGCCCCCGGTGGCGGGACCCCGCAGCCTGGAGCCTCCCACCCGCGGGCTGCGGCACCGACGCGCTGTCCGCGGTGCTGACGCCGGCCGGCCGCTCGCTTCGGAGCGGGAGCAGGCGCCCTGGTTCCCGCCGCGTCGGAGCGCGGAGCCCCCGCCTGTCCTCGGTTCCCGAGCCGGCTACACCCAGAGAACTCCGCCGGAGTCCTGGCGCTGAGGTTGGATCCGGGAACAAACGGGTGAGCAAAGGGAACTTAAACTTCAGGCTAGAGCCCAAGAATCGAAGCCGGGTTTGGTTTCCGATGGCTCCCAGCCTCTGAGCCCTCAAAGCACCAAGTTGAACAAAGTTTCCCCGTGGCTTGAGAGAGGAAGAGATTCCGGAGCCCAAGCGCAGGGAAGGAAGGACCCGGTTGTCTAGCGCGCTGCCAGCCAGCACGGCAGTGGGACACCTGCTCCGCTGGGGCGCACTGGTGTCGCTAGAGCGACCTGGAGGCTCAACAGCCCAACTCTCCACCCCTTCCTCCCTTCTTCACTCACCCCTCCCCAACACCCCGCCCCAGGCTCGGATGACTCCGCCTCTCCGTGCCGGGTAGCTCTCCGGCGGTAGCAGGGAAGGGAAGGGAGCGCTTTCCCGGAGGGCTCAGCTCGCCTCTAAGGCTCCGAAGCCAGCACCGCCAGCTCAATTACAGGGTGAAACAGGACTGGCCGCGCACCCTACACCCAGGCGCCACCGGTCCCCAGCAGCCTCATGGGACGCCCCAGGGGACTCTCTCTGTGCCCTGCCACCGGGTTCCGATCCTAGGCGTCTGGACTGCACGGTTCGACCTGCCCACAGCCCGCGGCCTGTCCTGAGTGGAGTATGCGGCCCGGGGCCCCGTGGACTCCGGCCACCGGGCGGCGCTGGCCTAGCTTCGGGGCCCGGAGCCCGAGGGCAGCCGGTGAGGAGCCGCGGGAGGCGGTAAGGCGTCGGGGCGCGGGGAGAAGCGCTCCAGCCCAGGTGCCCGCTGGGCCGCGCGCCCCGTGCGTGGCCTGAACGCCCGGCAGGAGGCGGAGGCGCCCCGCCGTCCCGGTCTCCGGGAGGCTGCGGAGGGGCTCCGGCGCGGCCCCCGACCTCGGTCCACCATCCTCACGCTCCTGCTCCTGCGGCGGGGATGTCACGGCCCCGGCTCCGAGCGCCGCCCCAGCCCCGGGGCTGAGCTGCGGACCATGTCCTCCCGCAGCCCCCGGCCCCCGCCCCGCCGCTGCCGCCGCCGCCTGCCGCGCCCCTCCTGCTGCTGCTGCTGCTGCCGCCGCTCGCACCTCAACGAGGACACCGGCCGCTTCGTGCTCCTGGCCGCGCTCATCGGCCTCTACCTGGTGGCGGGCGCCACCGTCTTCTCCGCGCTCGAGAGCCCGGGCGAGGCGGAGGCGCGGGCGCGCTGGGGCGCCACGCTGCGCAACTTCAGCGCGGCGCACGGCGTGGCGGAGCCCGAGCTGCGCGCCTTCCTCCGGCACTACGAGGCCGCGCTGGCCGCCGGGGTCCGCGCCGACGCGCTGCGTCCGCGCTGGGACTTCCCCGGAGCCTTCTACTTCGTGGGCACCGTGGTGTCGACCATAGGTGAGCGGCGCGCCCCGCGCGTCTTCCCTCTGCACTCCTGTCACTCGCTGCCCTTTCCACCGATCGAAGCCCGGGCCCGCGTCCCCCGGCTCCTCCCTAACATTCTGATACTCTTTGCCTACTTTTGTCTCCGTCCTCCCGTCCTCCCGTCCTCCTACCCCTCTTTCCTGCGTTCGGAGCGAGAGGTGGCCCGAGCCGACCATCTCTAGCTCTCACCAGCTGTCACTCACAGCGGACTGTGTTGTCAGCCAGGCGCCAAGCGCTTTGAGGGCTCCATGTCCAGGCTCTGCTCCTCCGTAAGAGGGTTTGTGAGAACTCATGTCAACGGCTGCTAGTTCCCACCCCGCCCGGGCCTTGGTGTGTTACAAAACAACCATTTCCCCGTCCACTCTCAGTGTTTTAATTTCCTCTTCGCGTTCTCTGCTCCTGCCCCACCCCCCTCAAAGTAAAGTCCGTTATTCACAAGCCAGCCTTCCGCTTAACCGCTTCACACCATTCGCCTCGCGTTTCCACTTCCTACACCCCTAACTTCTCCAAGTTCTTGACCTCTTGTCTTTGTTCCCCCTTTTCGACCAATAGTGGTGCCAAAGGACAAACTGGGGTTGGTCGCCTTTACGTTCTACTTTTTATACCAAACAGCTCACTTTTCGTAACCTCGGGGGAAATGGGCAGACTCTTGAGACCACAACCCTCCTTCTCAGCCGGACTGAAGTCCCCCGGTATTCTCCCTGGAGAGTGAGTCTCCAGCCCCTCTCACCCACGCCTCTTCCTAGGCGCTTGGCATCATGTAAAACAGACACCTCCCCCCCCCCCATTTAAATTAGCTGTGCAGAGGGCAGAGGATACAGACTTTGACGAGGCTTGGTCATGTCTCACTCACTCCTGTTTTGCATCTCAGGGTTGCAGCAGTACTTGCTGGTCACAGTAGTCGCCCCAAAACCTCCTCTTCTGCTGATGAAATTTGGAAGAAAGGGGCTGTGCTTTCAGGGCTGAGAAGTGAGGAATTTTATAAACATCATTTCCTCGTGTCAGTTCAGAGCACTGGCCACGAACTACTTCCCTACTGCTGCCTGGAGGCTGAAGAGAGGCAGCAGGTTCATTCAGGATGTGCACAGAGGGAAAGATCTCTCTGCATTTCGCTCCGTGTTTGTATGTATAGTCTGTGAAGGTGCTTCCTTGCCTCCAATCGTTTTCTCCTGTGTCATGCTTGATCTGATTATTTTAAATAGAAAAGACAAATACGGACTGAGTCCAAAGTCTATACAAATTAGATAAAAATACCCTTTAAAAATATATCATGTTGTTATGGTGATTGAAGATATAAAACGACCCCCTCAAAAATCCCCTTTTAAGAGCTACATCGAGTTGCTATAGCAACTAGAGGATTTTTTTAAGTGCTTAAAAGTACTAAGGATGCTTAATCTTGGAGGATGACATCATGTGTTTATAGTTCATTGTTAGCATGTACTCTTCTTGTAAACACTCCCTGTTGCTTCTTCTACCTAGAGGTACACCTGTGAGCATGTCATGTCACAGTATCTTCTTCCCAGTGACACGCTCTAGCCTACTAATGTAGCTGCAAAAGAGCAGAAGCTGTTGCCAGCGCTCTCTTCCCATACAGGCTGTGAATCCATCCGGAGACCTTATTCTGCGACCTGTGCTCGCTGTGTGTCTTTCATGAGCCACACTGTCCCCTCAGAAGCAGTGATTCTCTCTCAGCTCTGTGGACAACATCAAGCCAGCTTATTTGGAAACTGTTCCATGCTTCAGTCTTTAGTCTACTGTCAGGATTGTCTGTCTGTTAGTCACGTGGGATGGAACTGTGTACTCTCTTGACTTGTGGTTTTAGACGTAGGCAGGCAGTGTGGACAGGCTACACGGTATGGCTGAGTTATGAATGACCTAGCATGTTGCTTCTAAGATCTGCCGGGGAAAATTAACACCAGCTGTGGACGGCTCAGGATGGAACTGGCCAGCTTCAGGGCCAGTAAAAGCCTGTGTGGTATGGTGTTAGGAGATCTATACACAGTTAGTGAGGGGCTCACCTCAATTCAGAGCTGAGTTTGTGTGGTGTGTATTACAGTAATTCCATGCATATAGCAATGGGAATGTCCTTGTGTGAAACTAAAATATTAATGATGTGGATCTATCCCTGCCATTTGAGTAGTCTCTGCAAGCTGCCTGCCTGGTTCAACACAGTGATTTAAACTGGTCCTGATAAGGTAGTCAAACAAGTTCTACTGAGTTATCAGCATGATCATCCCCTCAGCCGTCTCTGTGAAGAGCTACATGTGTCCGTGTATTTCCTGCTTAGATACTTCCCTCCCTTGAAATGTCCAGTTGTTATTATTACTTATGTATTTATGGATGCAATCACACAGGGAACCAGAGCTCAGTCAGGCTTCTCTAGTCTGCCCCTTCATCCGGGAAAGAGGAAACTATCACATTCTGGGTTTCACTTGATCAGCTATCACATGGCGTGTGGTTCATGCATCGATGTAGAATTCACGTGTCCAGGTTTGTATCCTGCTTAAAAATAGAGTATTTCTTTTGTTGTTATTTCTCTGGCTCAGATAAACGATCTGTATAGTTTTGGTATAGACAACCCTTCATTCACTTAATAACTATGAAGAACTGTGTGCTCCAGCCCAGTGCAATGTTTTGAAAGGTCAACCTTTGTTCTACATGCCAGGGGTTTAAGCATATTCCAACATGGGCAGCTGAGATACAGTGAATGTTAGCCATCCTCACTAAAGATGACCAGAACAAAAAAGAGAACGTTGTCAAGTCTGTGTGGTATAGTGTTAGGAGATTTATACAGTTAATGAGGGATTCACCTCAATTCAGAGCTGAATTTGTGTGGTGTGTATTACAGTAATTCCATGCATATAGCAGTGGGAATATCCTTGGGTGAAACTGAAATATTAACGATGTGAATCTCTGTTTCTCTCTCTCTCTCTCTCTCTCTCTCTCTCTCTCTCTCTCTCAGTGTGTGTGTGTGTGTGTATGTGTGTGTGTGTGTGTGTGTATGCACAAATCTGACACTAAGGCAGGGACTAGTTTAATTGTCAGGCCAGAAACTGATTAAGTACAGAAAACTTGAAGGATAGCACAGATGTTACAGGCAGATGAGCTAGAGGCAGCTGTGGGGCCTTAAATGGCTGGATAGGCAAGAGCCAATAAAACTACAGAAAGTCGAGACAGGCACCAGCAAGCAGGGGACACTGTGTTGAAGAGTGGTCCTAGAGCTTTCTCTCTCAATAGCATGCATTCCTGGGCAGCAACAAAAAGAACAGGAACTGGCCTTTAACAGTAGGCAGCACAGGGGAAACTTCACTCTGGCCATGTGTATTCAAGGTCAGATGGAACATCAGAGTGGCAGGGAATATTTGTCCTGACATTTGGCTTGAAAGGAGCCCCATCTCCTGAGCTGGGCACTTTGCAACTGTGTAAACACACACATGTTCACACAGCACAGACCCTATGGGGAAATGTGCCTGCAATTACTCAGCAGGCTCTACCAAGTCTCTCTGAGTAGCTCAAGCAAGATATTTTAAAAGTCCACTTTATACTCTAAATTATTCATCCTGATTGCTCATACAGATCTGAGACCCTGGGTAATTACTACTTCTCCCATTTACCCTCTGTGACATATTTCCTAGGGGGTTGGAACTAAGTTTATTTTAATGTGAACATGTTTGTGTCTGCATTCCTCCATTTAGCAAACACCAAAAACAACAGCACTCGTGGCAGATGCAAGTGTGGCCTTTGGCGCATCATTATCTTCAGTGTCTGGGTCAGATGAACAAACAATGATGACAGCAGCTCTGGCTCCTCTAGTTCCTGGCTGAGTTCTTAACAGCAGCACTCCGGCTTGGAGAAACTCAGAACAGCCCAAAGAGTATTAATCCATCATCTCACATCTTAAAGGATGTTTTATTGGTTTGCTTTGAAAAGATTAAAAGGAAGCTCTCCCTTGGGGCTTTAATTATGCATCTGCTGTCAGATTTACACATACAGAAGAACATCTTTAAAAGTCTTTCTCAAATGGCAGCTCAATCGAAACAGAAATATTTTTGCTTCCTTCTATTAGGTTTCCTGGCAGAGATTTTTAGCTGCAAAGCTAAAATCATGCCCGTAGAGACGATATGGTGTAGGTACCAGAGTTGTCGCTTTTGGCACTGCATAATTTAGCTTGCTGCTTTCGGAATTAGGTATACTTAATTATTCGGCCACGAGATTAGTAACAAGTCCTAACTCCACCACCCCCCTCCTTTAAAAAATGGATTTTTCAAAAGTGCTTTTGCTGCAGAGGACACTAAGGCATTATAAGACCAAGATGTCACTACCATAATTTGTTTGGGTTTCTTCTAACATGTATGTAATGTAGCTGGAGGTGGCTTTGACACCTGACATGACATATGTGTCCCAGAAGAAGGGGAATGCCTTCTCTCACTTCTTTCATTGACTGGTTTTTATTGGAAAGTGATACTGTAACAGAATTGAAGGATACTGGGGAAAACATATATTGGATTTAAAGCTGTTGATGAACAGGAAATACATTCCTATGTTCCCTCTCTCCTTTCATACCCTGACCCGGGCCACAGTAAAGAGCAATTGTTTGAGTGATTCAGAGAACAAGTCACTCTAACACAGCACTGCACCGACATAGCTCTTCTGTCTGTAGGTCCTAACTGACGAGGGAGGCACTATTTCCCCCTGTTGTATCATCAATGTCATGTCCATGTTTCCTCTTGGCCTGCACACGTGGCTTTTGATAGGTGCATACTATTCTTTGTAGTTGATGCTTCCTTACTGCAGGCTGGCTGGGTGGTTCCCAGTCTGGGCTATTTTGAGTAATGCCACAATGAGCAACTTCATGCATATGGCCTGTTCCTTCTGGAGAGCATCTCTTCAGGGTGAGTCTCCGGCACTGAAACTGCTGAGTCAGTGGGTGCTGTGTGTGAAGTCGCTGAGTCAGCAGGTGCTGCTGTCTTCAC